GTGGAAGGGGGGATTCTTCCAAAACGAAGATAGAGCAGTAGGGAGAAAACAATCCATTTATAATAAGCTTGGTTCACTAGGATTGGATTATTACTGACTACATATGAGAAGCCAGTCGTGCTCATTCATATCACGTGCTCCTCTCGAAATTAGTTTGCAAAACTTCACTTAAAGTCATATTACTCTATAAAATTATGTTGGAATTTTAAAAAGTTATGATTTAAATTTTATAATAAGTCAAAATTCTGACATAAAAGTTAATATTTAGAGTCATATTTATGACAAAAATAGTATGACAAAAGAAACTGGCTGTTAGATTTGTCTTTTTTTATGTCATAATTATGATCAACCAAAACACAATAATTTTTTTTGTTATGCATTTTAATCAGGCTTCCATAAGTTACGGTGATTTTAACAGAGTTAAAGATTTTGCACATCTTATATTCACTTAAAACCATCTTTTGAATGGCTTATGCTGACATACGTTTTTAAACACGGTGTCTGGGTGTGTAAAATGGATATTCACTGCTTTCTTGACATTTGCCGTCCATCGTGAAACGTTTTAAATATACACTTTCTGTCGAACGAGTATTCATAGATTCAGTCTGAGATAAGGTCAACTGAGAGTGTTTGTGGCACAGTGTTGAAAACAAGGGAACATGTAAATTATTGTTTGTGGTAATCAACGTTATGCCACAACTGCGATGTACTGAGTTTAAAGGCACAATATGTAAGATTTCTTTATTCAAATATCCAAAAACCACTAGAACAGTGTTATATATTTTGCTCATGTACTTACATTATCCCAAATATATCAAAGACTGTTCACATCTAGAGAAATAAGCTATTTAAAATAGTGAGACTAGTGTGTGTCCTGTTTGTTAATGCTAAAGGCGTCACACACTGTTAAAAAAATATATCTGTAAATTAGCAGTTTTCTGCCTTGTGGTTCATGTATTTTTTTTTATTTTTATGCTGTTGAATTGCATTATTGGACTTTGATCTTTCTTTCGACAACTTTAAGCTTGAAAAGTAAAAAAAAAGTGACTCTATAAACATTTTTTATAGTTTAAAGTGATGTATTGTCTGGGTTGGTGTTGTGTATCACGCTACAAAAGCCTTGTCATTTTACAGAATTATTTCTCTATATTATTTCTTACCATTACATTATTAATGCTAATACTTAATATTAATACTTAGTACTAATGCTAAACAGAACAGAGATCAACATCCCATAATGCAATTCCCAACTGTAAATAAATGGAAACACTTCTGAAACACAATATATGGAAATGTTAATTAACAGATATTTTTTCACAGTGCACGCTCGATTTTCAGATTGGTTTTCCAGAAATCAGGTAAACACCAAAGAGGCTTTAATATGTTGTGTGTTTTCCTGGATTGCACAGAGCAGCGTTATAACAGAAGCCTAAAATATGTTTTGTCTGAACAGGATGTAGTGGACTGTGGCATAATAAAAGCTCTGCTGCTTTCTGCCGCCTCACACTTGTCTCTCATCAGCAGTTACTTCAGTGTTCTTGTTTTGCTTCGACAGCTTTCAGCCTTATGGTGTGTTCACAGCAGATGCGGATGAAGCATGAATGAGGCGGTGCGAATGATGCGATTTGCACGAATGAAGCGGCGCGAGTTAAGCAATTTGCATGTTTGACACATTTAACACTGGAATCACTCAAGTTGGAAAATCTGAAGTTCAAGACATTTGTGTCGTGCTAACCAATCAGGAGCTTGCTCTTGTGGGGGCGTGATTATGACGTAGTGCCTGTTTTTGATGTCCTGAGGAGAAATCCAATTGTTGACATCGAACAACAGCTCACCAAACTGGGCTCGGCTAAGTCTGAAGCCCAGCTAAAAACTTCCATCATCCAGGTATAATTTCTAGAGAAGTTGGCGAACGATCTTCTGCAGTGGTCCTCAACCTTTTTATCACCGCGGACCGGTCAATGCTTGACGATTTTACCGCGGGTGGGTGGTGCCTGGGGTAGGGAGATTTGTTTTGTAGGTGTAGACTGGCCATAGGGAGCACCGAGACATTTCCTGGTGGCCTGGCGGTCTATCCAGCCTGCCATCATGATTTCCTGCCACCGTGACCTCTTCATAAACATCATGCCCCAACCCCCCGACTTGCTATAGCTTTTACTCGTTGGAAATGATGTCCCAGTCTGCCCCTGTCGACCATCAAACATTTTGAGGATGACAAGCTGACAAAACATTGCTGTAACTCTGATACAAGTTTTATTTATGGAGAAAATGACAAAGCACTGCAATTTTTGGGTGTTCGGTGTTTGTCTGAGACAATTGGTCGAAATGTGTATATTCTTTAAAGCTGAAGCTGATTGGCAAGTTCTTGTCACGTGACTTGCGGTGCGCTTACGGGATTCAGTCAACTGTGCGTCTGGAAGGTGTGAGCGCGTCACGTCGCTTGTGCGCGCACCTCCATTGGAAATAATGAACTTATGCAAACTCTAAAAAACACGCTGTTGATCTTCTTGCACAGCCATGCTGGATTCACCTGATTTGTTGATAAATGCATTATGGATCCATTATTTTGCAGTTTGCGGGTCCTTCACTGGGCCTTTTCCCTTAGCAAAGAAACTTTCCAAAGACGTCTGTTTCTTACTATATTTGCTGCTTGTTGGTTAATTTTGGCTGCTCAAGTAACTAAGATGTAACCACGAGAATACGGTAATTTTTCCAAAAAAAGATTATTCAAAATAAAAGATCGTTCAGAGTCAGATAAAAAAATAAAACTGAAATAATTAATGATTTTTTGCACGGCCTGGTACCAATTGATCTACGGACTGGTACCCGTCCATAGCCCGGTGGTTGAGGACCACTGATTTAGTGGTTTAGCCTTCCTAGAGCACAGTTACTCTCTCAATGAAATTCATGTTAGCCATTAGCAACGAAACTAGAGTTACCGGGCAGACAGAAGCCCTGGCAATGACGTAAATACACGCCTATTGTGAAGTATTAGTGTAACTCAAAATGTTTACATGTCTATTTAAGTGAAAATAGCGAAATTTATTTGCATGTGTTGCGTCTGGTGTGAACTCAGCATACCTCTGCTTCATACTACCATGATAAGTGTTAAATATTTTAGCTATTTTAGCAGGAGTCTCATTTGATGTAATGATAACCATAACTCCCATGATTCCACTAGTCACTGCGTCATCAAACTATGCCTTTGTTTGTTCTGGATGTGCTCCCTCTAGTGGTGAACATTACATACTGTGCCTTTACCTTACAATACATCTTCATGTCTGTCTTTAAAAAAAGAGCACTCAGTTCCCTGTGGTCAAAATATTACAATTACCGAAGTATCAGCATGATGAAGCGTTCCTGAAATTTTCCATATGTCTGCCCCCTATGTGTACATGAATGACATGATGGCGATGAGTAGCTTATGCATTACAAATCATGATGATAAAGTTCAAGGCATTCTAAAGGCGTTTTCTAACAGTATTCAAAATAGAGGAGACACTGTAAAAGAAAAGCGTAAGGGATTTAACAGTATAATCTGCTGTAGCTCGACCTGGATGTGCTCGCGGTGGTTTCCCATGGGAGGCTCTTTGGGACCAAACACACTGAATAACTTGTGTGTACAAATATATGTTTGCTCATATATACGAAACATCATCTGGAGCATTCTTAAGTGGGATGAAGCACGCGAAACAGCGTACAAATATAGAATTATTAGCAATATCTGTTTTCCCTAAATTCTGTTTAACAGCAAGAAGATTCTTTTCAACATATTTCTAAACATAATAGTAAAACATTTTACTAGATACTTTTTAATAGTCTAGTATACAGCTTAAAGTGACATTTAAAGGCTTAACTGGGTTAATTAGGTTAAAGTCAGGGTAGTTAGGCAAGTAATTGAATAACAATGGTTTGTTCTGTAGACTATTGAAAAAAAATAGCTTAAGGGGCTAATAATATTGACCTTAAAATGGTGTTTAAAAAAATTACCTGGTTTTATTCTAGCCGAAATAAATCAAATAAGACTTTCTCCAGAAGAAAAAATATTATAGGAAATACTGTGAAATTTTCCATGCTCTGTTAAACATCATTTGGGAAATATTTGAAAAAGAAATTCACAGTAGGGCAAATAATTCTGACTTCAACTGTATATACGTGAGGAAACATATTTGTACGCACAAGTTTTTATTGTGTTTCATCCCACTTAAGGACGCTCCAAAGATGTTTGGTATATACACTCACTGGCCACTTTATTAGGTACACCTGTCCAACTGCTCGTTATCGCAAATTTCTAATCAGCCAATCACATGGAATGCATTAAGACGATCTGCTGCAGTTTAATTCGAGCATCGGAATTGGGAAGAAAGGTGATTTAAGTGACTTTGAATGTGGCGTGTTTGTTAGTGGAAGATAGGTTGGTCTGAGTATTTCAGAAACTGCTGATCTACTGGGAAGAAGAGCAGCAGAAGAGCACACCGGGTGCCACTCCTGTAAGCTAAGAACAGGAAACCGAGGCCACAATTCGCAGAGGCACACTAAAATTGGACAATAGAAGATTGAAAAACCGTAGCCTGGTCTGATGAGTCTCAATTTCTGCTGCGACATTCAGATGGTAGGGTCAGAATTTGGCATGAGCTACATGAAAGCATGGATCCATCCTGCCATATATCAACGGTTCAGGCTGGTGTTGGTAGTGTAATGGTGTAAGGGATATTTTCTTGGCACACTTTGGGCCCGTTAGTACTAATTGAGCATGTCAACGCCACAGCCTACCTGAGTATTGTTGCTGACCATGTCCATCCCTTTATGACCACAGTGTACCCTTCTTCTGATGGCTACTTCCAGCAGGATAACACGCCATGTCATAAAGTGAGAATCATCTAAGACTGTTTCTTGAACATGATAATGAGTTCACTGTGCTCAAATGGCCTCCACAGTCACCAGAACTCAATCCAATAGAGCACATTTGGGATGTGGTGGAACGAGAGATTCACATCATGTATGTGCAACTAACAAATCTACAGCAACTGTGTGATGCTATCATGTCAATATGGACCAAAATCTCCATTTCAAAAAGGAATATTTGCAGTACCAGAGGGTTTTCCAGGGATTAAGACAGTTCTGAATAATGTGGCCGGTGAGTGTATGACCAAACATATATTTGTAAGTGTTTCAGTGTGTTTTGTCCCAAACAGCCTCTCACAGTTTTCTAGCAGTTCATCCGCATGTCTGTAGCCCTTTCCTGGGTCTCTGTTGATGGTGTTTTCAGTAGACGCTCACGTTCCCCCACTCCACCAGGTACTGGAGCTTTCCGTCGGCCGTCACGCGTCGGGCAAGGATTCGGACAGCATCTCCTCCTGCCCAGCCCATGCTCGATGGTGCAGCCATGCCCACGGGGCTGTGGAAGGGAGGCACGTCCCGCAGGAAGAGAGAAGGGCAGCTTTCATAGCGCTGCGCCGGTGCGTGAGCCGACGACACAGAGCACGGAAGGCAGGGAGCTGGAAGTCCACAAGGGTCCTCTGCACTGAGGACAACATCAGACATTTAAACAGAGATGAAACATCAAAAAACATCCAGAAGCCTTTTAAATATACAGTGGGGGGAAAAGTATTCAACACATCACGTATTTTCCTGGGAGTAATATTTCTAAAGGAGCTGTTGAAACGTAATTGAACCAGGTTTTGGTAAAAATACAAACAATACAGCAATGTTTTTGTCCTCAGACCTAATATAGAACTAATTTCTTACACATCTCATCCAAAACTTTCTGTGTTAACTAATCTGCCTGGAATTACTTTAGCTGTGCGTTTTTCTGAGGAATAAGAGCACTCCATAAATGTTCATTAGCCAATCAGAATCAAGCATTAAACAGTATTGTATATATATATATATACATATATATATATATATATATATATATATATATATATATATATATATATATCAAACTGTACAGAAAAGAAGCATACAGTATAAAATAACATGGCTGAATAAATGATGCCAGGATGAAGTTGGTGTGATTTGAGTGTGTATATTTTGCTGACAGACAGACCTGTAGTGGTGAAGAGCTCTAGACAGGTCCTGAGATGCGTTGTATGATGGATGATAGAGAGCAAACATCCTCTTCGGCGGTGAACTGAAACACACAAACACTTCTGTACTGTATACACTCTCAGAAATAAAAACACAAACACAAAAACAGTCATTGGGAAGAGCCTTTCCAATTTTGGGTTCATATTACAGGAAAAAAATTACAGGAAGGCTAAAAATATGTATTTATTTTTTCAGAATTCACAATTCAAAGTTTACCTCTCTAGATTGGAGTTTTTAAAATGTAAAAGATAGAATTTTGACATAAAAAGTTGCAAATATTGCGTTGCAAATATTGCGTTTTTATTGTGTTGCAGAAACACACATGGATGTATGATGCCAATTTTCCAGCAGATGTGCTGCTGTTACTGACCCCAGACTCATCTCCTCATCTGGTTTTCTGGAGTTGTACAGGTTTGATCCTTCATAACCACGACAGCACGGCACGCGGTCAAGAGCGTCTGCCGCAACTCCTGCTGGACAAGACTAAACACAAGATCAGCTGTTAAATATAATGAACATGATCAGTTTAAAGGGCATATTCTGGAAAAAAGACATATGGGTTTAAAAATCATAGACATATAATAAAGTTTATAAAATAAAGTTATTATTTGTTGCAATAAACTACATAGACATATAAAAAACTGATACAAGGATACAAAAAGAAGAAAACTACAAAAATTTATTAAAAAGATTATACAAATTAATAATAATACTACAATAAAAATAAATAATTTAGGTTAGATGAATGGACAAACAAATGTACGGATGGATGGATGGATGGATGGATGGATGGATGGATGGATGGATGGATGGATGGATAGATTGATTGATGGACAAACAAATGGATAGATGGATTGTTTTCCTGTGCATAAAATAAAAATACAAAATTTTATTTAATTTTAAATGGTATCTAAAATAGGAAATGCTGTTTTCTTATATTTAAAATACTGTACATCTCTTCAAAACAGACGTATGCAATCATTTTAATGTTATGTAAACTATGCATTTTATGACTACTTGCAGGAGTAAACACTTCTTGATTTTTCTGCATCTTGCAAAAAATAATTAAAAGACTACAAGAAAAACAAGCTCAACTGTCTGTGTGCTTGTACAAACTCTTGACAGTGATGTTTGATTTCTGTTTCTGCACTGACCTGTGTCTCAGTGACCCGACGTTTGGGTTTACGCACATCCGGTGCCACTGCTCTCCGCTGACAGGACACTGACGACGGGCTAAAGATAAGACAACCACTCACTTCAACAGCAACATCTACAATTGTACTTACTCTTTACTTCATTCATTTTTTTTATAGAAATTTTAAATAGTAAAAAAAAAGAAATATTATATTTTAATAATAATGTGTAATAACAATAATATATATATCAATATTATCATTATTATTATTATTATTATTATTATTGTTGTTGTTGTTGTTGTTGTTGTTGTTGTTATTATTATTATTATTGTCATTATTACTATTATTATTATTATTATTATTGTTGTTGTTGTTGTTGTTGTGTGTGTGTGTTTGTGTGTATATATACAACAACAACAATTATAATATAGAATATAATAATAATATATATATACAACAGTTCTGTCTGGTTCTTGAGTCTGATTGGCTAATAGCCCTGTGATATTTTGCCAGTAACTTCACACAAGGGCCTCTTCACCCTTTACCATTGTGTATTACACAACACTTAATATATATATATATATATATATATATATATATATATATATATATATATATACATACTATTATATTTTATATATTTTATATATAATATTTTATTTATTTATTTTCCTATTGGGTCATAATGGTGCTGTTTTTGTTGTCCTGATATCGAGCTTGGTGCAAGGTCTTTTTATTATCATTTCAATTATTTACATTTAAAAAGGTTGAATAACATGATTTATACAAAAAAAGTATGAATAAATTACTACAAAATATAACAATGTTTTAAACTAATAGTTCGTTTTGTCTACTGTTTTTTTCATGTTTCGAAAATCTACTAATAAATAAATAAAAAGAAAAGAAAAATGTCATGATGTTAATTTTACCTTGTGTCAAAGTCAACATCAAATTCCTATAGGCTGTAGTTTAATATATATCTTTTAAATTAACATTTTTAAATTTAAATTTTAAATCCATATCTTTATTTGTACAGATTTTTATGTAACATCACGATCATCAATTCTCGGGATTCAATAAATCATTCAGACATCAAGTGAATAAATATCCAGTAAAACATTTTGTGCCCTTCCATCTCTGACCTTCTCCTGTGGGTGATGTTAATTGGCTGTTCGGCGATGAAAGGTGATTGGTCGGATGACAGAGGGGGAGGAGCTCGAACCTGGAGCCCGAAGAGACATTTCTTCTTCTTGATTTCCTTCCCCGAGACGAACCTTTAGGATAAACCCAAATCAGATTGCATTGGTATTCAACTGCTGTCCTCAGGCCTCGCTGACAGATTTTTATTTGTTTCTGGCCGCCAAACTAAAACATCTGATTCGGTTATTTAAGCGCCAGCGTATGAGCGGGCATCAACCACTAACCTTGACAGAAAGAAAATGGAAATGGACTTTAAATAATTTATTCTGAAAGACGAAACCACCGTCAGCTATCAAAACACTATTTGTGGGGAGGGGAAAACCACTTATAATGTAAAGCAATTACAGTAATGCTTTTGCTGATATTATTGCAAATGTGCGCCGCAGTACACCCCCCTATGGGCTGGTGTATGGAAATCAGCCTTTTTCCGAGCGTAATCCGTGTCTCACCTGTCTTTGTGGGAGTTTAAAGCGTTGAGCAGGTTTTGGCAACGGTCTTGCCTCGGCGTGTCTGACAGCTGAGAGACACAAATACAGAAAGGAATGAAGGCCGGCGTGGAACAAATGCATTTGAAAGATAAGAGCTCAGATTGACCACAAACTGCAAGAGAGAGTATTCAAAAGTACACTCGGGAATACATTCAAGTCAACAGAAAATCCAAAATGACCCCATTTACAGGCTGAAAAACTTGCAAAAATCGCTCAACGACTGCTGTTTTCTTTTCTGTGCTGATGTTTCTTTTATGAAAAAGTCGACAGAAGCACTAACGCACTTCATAGCACATATATGAATTAATGATTTGAGTTCTTTTGCTAGTCTGAAGCAAGTGGAATTTATAATTGATAGAGAAAAAAATCTTTATTTTAGAAACAACATTATATTCAGGGGTGAATTTAAATAATAAGCAAGGTAAGCATCTGCTTAGGGCCCCTGGAAATTTTGGAGGCCTCCTGTAAATAACGGAATTCGTTCATTCATTTTCCCTTGGCTTAGTTCCTTATTTATCATGGGTGGCCACAGCAGAATGAACCGCAAACTAATCCAGCAAGTGTTTTATGCAGTGGATGTCCTTCCAGCTGCAACCCATCACTACGAAACACCTATACGCACTCATTCACACACACAAACATTTTTACACTACGACAAATTTAGTTCATCCAGTTCACCTATAGCGCATGTCTTTGGACTGTGGGGGAAACCGGAGCACCCGGAGGAAACCCACACCAGCACGGCGAGAACATGCAAACACAAAAAAAGCCACCTGGTCCAGACGGGACTCGAACCAGCAACCTTCTTGCTGTGAGGCGACAGTGCTGACCAATGAGCCACGGTGCAGCCCCTTTATATTATATTTAGCTTAATATTGCATAAAATAAAATAAAAATTATTAAATAATATATTTTACTATAACTTATTTTTGTACACGTTTTCAATTTAATTTAATTTTACGCTGTTTTGATCATTTGTATCACTTTTTGTAGTTTTTTATAGTTTTATCTTTGGTTTGCTACTTGCTTTTTTAATTAACTAATTAATATTTTTTTACAGTAGAAGACAAAATTATTAGCAAAAGTATGATTATTAGAAATTTGTATTCTTTTTTAAATATCTCAGTGTGATTTTCAACAGAACAGGGACATTTTTCTGTATGTCTAGACAAACACATGCACACGCACACACACACGCACGCACACACACACACACACACACACACACACACACACACACACACACACACACACACACACACACACACACACACACACACACCAAACAAATAAATATGCTTAGGTCAGTATTATTAGACTCCTTTAATAATTGTTCATTAATTATTATTATTGATAACCTATCTCCTTAAAACCTAATTAACCCTAGTAAATACAATATTTACTTATTTGTTTGCTCTTTTTTACACTTTCTGTATTCTCATGTTTAATTATTTAATTAATATATATATATATAGTTGAAGTCAGAATTATTAGCCCCCTTTTGATTTTTTTTTCTTTTTTAAATATTTCCCAAATGATGTTTAACAGAGCAAGAAAAAATTTACAGTATGTCTGATAATATTTGTTCTTCACGAGAAAGTCATATTTGTTTTATTTCGGCTAGAATAAAAGCAGTTATTAATTTTTTTTTAAACATTTTTGGGACAAAATTATTAGCCACTTTAAGCTAATTGTTTTTTCGATAATCTACAGAACAAACCATCGTTAAACAATAACTTGCCTAATTACCCTAACCTGCCTAGTTCACCTTATTAACCTACTTAAGCCTTTAAATGTCACTTTAGGCTGTATAGAAAAATCTTCTGTCTGAAATCTGGCTTTAAAAAATATCTAGTAAAATATTATTTACTGTCATCATGGCAAAGATAAAATAAATCAGTTATTAGAAATAGTTTTTTTAAATTATTATGCTAAGAAATGTGCTGAAAAAATCTTTCCTCCATTAAACAGAAATTATAGAAAAAAATAAACAGGGGCGCTAATAATTTAGGAGGGCTAATAATTCTGACTTCAACTGTATATAAATTTTCACAGTATGTCTGATAACATTTTTTCTACTAGAGAAAGTATTATTTGTTTTATTTCGGCTAGAATAAAAGCAGTTTTTAATTTTTTAAAACCCATTTTAGGGACAATATTATTAGCCTTTTTAAGCTATTTGTTTTTTCGATAGTCTACAGAACAAACCATCGTTATACAATAACTGGCCTAGTTATCCTAACCTGCCTAGTTAACACGATTAACCTGGTTAAGCCTTTAAATGTCATTTTAAGATGTATAGAAGTGTCTTGAAAAATATCTAGTGAAATATTATTTACTGTCATCATGGCAAGTGATTAGAAATGAGTTATTAAAACTATTATGTTTGGAAATGTGTTGAATAATTTTCTCTCTGTCAAACAGAAATTAGGGAAAAAAATAAAAAGGGGGCTAATAATTCTGACCTAAACTGTATATACAGTTGAAGTCAGAATTATTAGCCCCCCTGTTTATTATATATATATATATATATATATATATATATATATATATATATATATATATATATATATATATATATATATATATATATATATATATATATATATATATTCAGCATATATATATTTGATATTTCAGTTTTTCTATTTTTAATTAATCTGCAAAAATGTCAACAATTCTGTGTTTTTATGTCAATATGGGGTGCTGTGTTTACATTATTGAGCTTAAATTATTTTAGCAAATGACTGCAGCATAACACAGTGTGAAAAATTTAAGGGGGTCTGAATACTTTCTGTACTCACTATATATACATAAGTCTGCACTCAATACAAAATGATGCTGTGCAATAATAATAATAATAATAATAATAATAATAATAATCGGGTTTTTTTTCAAGGTGACAAAGTGGTGCAGTGGGTAGAAGGTTGCCGGTTCGAGTCCCGGATGGGTCAGTTGGCATATCTGTGTGGAGTTTGCATGTTCTCCTCGTGTTTGTGTGGGTTTCCTCTGGGTGCTCCAGTTGGCCCCACCAGTCCAAAAACATGGGTGACATGGGTGTCTCCCAGCACTGAACACACAGCTAGACAAGCATCTGCTGCGTAAAACATATGCTGGATAAGTTGGCGGTTCATTCTGCTGTGGTGACCCCAGACTAATAAAGGAACTAAGCCGAAAAGAAAATGAATGAATGAATATTTTTTCCTACCGTGCCAAGAAGCAAAGACTCCCAGTTCTCATTTGCAAACGACATGATTTCATGATCGAAATCGAAGTACTTCCTCTTGCAGCACAGAGAGAGGTGATACAGCACCAAATGGGCCAAATCTACCCTGCAATACAACAGAAGGAGGAAACATTGAGCTGGTCAGACGCCTCCGACTACAGATGCTCTCTGTCTCTGCATTCAGACTCTCACCAGGTCATGGGAAGCCTCTGGACGCTCTCTGCTCCATTGCTGCAGACGGAGCACTGGAACTGATAAAAGCTGAAAGGTGAAGAGGAGACGATTGTGAAAAAGCTTTACACTCAATGAGTTTAGTAACAGTCTGTGCTGAATAACAGCCTCACCGATCTCCATACAGAAGAGGTTTGCTCAGGCACTGAGTGCAGGCTTCATGAAACCACTGTCCACAACTGCCACACTGCAGCATCTTTAGATTCCACCTTAAAACACACACGTTATAATGAAAACATTAATCTTTTTTCACACACATTCTGCATTACAGTGCACACAAAATATATTTAGAAGCATAAAGTCAATTAGGGGCGGCACGGTGGCTCAGTGGTTAGCGCATGTGTTTGGACTGTGGGGGAAACTGGAGCATCCTGACAAAACCCACGCCAAAACGGGGAGAACCCATGCAAACTCCACACAGAAATGAACTGACACAGCCGGGAATCAAACCAGTGACCCTCTTGCTGTGAGGCAACAGTTCTAACCACTGAGCCACCATGTCGCCAACAAAATTATTATTTATAACTTTTTTTTAAAGTAGTTTTTCTAAATATTCAATTTTTAATATTTCTATGTAGCTTTGATTTGCTACTTGTATAGTGTGACAGAGACTGAGAGAAATTGCAATGTGTAGACAAAACTTTAGAATTTAGTTGAACAAAAATGTGCATTGTTTTAATCCACTAACATTATTATAAATGTTACTATTATTATTATCATCATTCATTCATTCATTCAATCATTTTCTTGTCGGCTCAGTCCCTTTATTAATCCGGGGTCGCCACAGCGGAATGAACCGCCAACTTATCCAGCAAGTTTTTACGCAGCGGATGCCCTTCCAGCCGCAGCCCATCTCTGGGAAACATCCATACAAATTCACACACGCAATCATACACTACGGACAATTTAGCCTACCCAATTCACCTGTACCACATGTCTTTGGACTGTGGGGGAAACCGGAGCACCCGGAGGAAACCCACGCAAACGCAGGGAGAACATGCAAACTCCACACAGAAATGCCAACTGAACCGAGGCTCGAACCAGAGACCCAGCGACCTTCTTGCTGAGGCGACAGCACTACCTACTGCGCCACTGCCTCACCCTATTATTATCATTACTATTATAATTATCATTATTATTATTTCTTTAAATGTCTTTAAAATGGGTTATTTGACAAAATGCTGAACAATTTAACTGAACATTACGTTTATAATTTTTTTTGTTTAATTTTGTGTAAATTATTCATTAAAATAAAAAAAAGTAGAAAACACTTCATTTGCCAACAAAATGGGAATTATTTTTGTCCTATAACATATATTTTGCTAAATAATTTCAGTTTAATGTAATTTGTAGTTGAATGCAGTTCATTTTTGTTTGTTTTATGTTTAATATTTCAATAATATTTAGGTTTTATACCGTATGAGCATTTTAATTAAAATGCTAAATAAGTGCAAAAACAAAAATAAGCAAAAAAGTAATTAGAAATGAAAGATTATACACATTCTTAAAGAAAACATTTTATATTATAACTTATAATATTCTTAAAGAAAACTTATATTAAAACTTAAATTGAAAGTTTTTCCAATCTCTATTGTCCAATTTTGGTGAGCCTGTGCAAACTGTAGCCTTAGATTTCTGTTCTTAGCTGACAGGAGTGTCACCCAGTGTGGTCTTCTGTTGCCGTAGCCCATCTGCCTCAAGGTTGGATGCTCTTCTGCATACTTCGTTTGTTACGAGTGAATATTTGAGTTACTGTTGCCTGTCCATCAGCTGGAACCAGTCTGGCCATTCTCCTCTGGCTTCAACAAGTCATTTGCGCCAGCAGAACTGCTGCTCACTGGATATTTTCTCTTTATCAAACCATTCTCTGTAAACCCTAGATATGGTTGTGCTTGAAAATCCCAGTAGATCAGCAGTTTCTTAAATACTCAAACCAGCCAGTCTGGCACCAACAACCACGCCACATTCAAAGTCACTTAAATCCCCTTTCTTCCCCATTCTGATGCTCGGTTTGAACTGCAGTAGATCGTCTTGACCATGTCTACATGCCTAAATGCACTGAGTTGCTGCCATGTTATTGGCTATTAAGAAATTTGCGTTAACGAGCAGTTGGAGAAGTGTACCTAATAAAGTGGCCGGTGTGTATAAATAATAATAATAATAATAATAATAATAATAATAATAATAATAACAATAATAACAATAAAAACAATAATAATAATAATAATAATAATAATAATAATAATAATAATAATAATAAAAACAATAATAATAATAATAATAATAATAATAATAATAATAATAATAATAATAATAATAATAATAAAACGTAATAATAATATTGTGGAGACTTCCAGATGTCCTACTTGCAAAAATGGTACACTTTAATAGACACTACACAATACTATAACCCACAAGGCTTGCTCTATTTCCAGTGTAATGAAGAAACCACAAGCAACACTACACCACAAACCCCTTCATATTGTTGCATGCTCTTCCACATACCTTCAAAAAAATGAAATGCAAACAGTATTTACCATTCTAGTATGCTCTAATAATCCACTCCACTGTAATTGTACATGTACTTTATTGTACAGTAAGCATTACTCACTCTCCAGGCCCAGCACAATAGCAGTAACACTGCTGCTGGTTGGTCAAGTGCTGAGGGTCCCAGTCCAGAGATGAGAGCTGATAGGGCAAGCGTACTTTCATGATCTGCATGAGCCGAGCGAAACGTCCTCTTTTCAACGCTCCTCCTCTCTAGGACACAACACACACACACACATGAGCCCTCCTGTCATACAAGCACATTTAACAGCCATTTCATCAGCAGATTGAATGTGGAGAAGACGTGCTAGAGGAAGTCATTAATATTTCTTGCCGTGCGAATGAGGTGGTGGGGGGGATTGAGATATGATTTTATCTTCAAATCAGCATGTAAGGCCTGTGAAATGAGCGCTCTGACAGACAGATTAAAGCACAAGCCCATTTAATGCAGCGCCGTCACCTGCAGTGCTGCAATGCAATAAACACGCAGTCAAGTGCAGTAAGCCATGGTGGATACACTTTACACCGTACTGCAAGACTGAAGCTGTGTGTGCAAAATGAGATGCTCATGTTTAGCTTTTCCAAACACACTAGCGGTCGAAAGTTTGAGATCAGTATAATTTTTGGGTTTTGTTTTTAAAAATAGACTGTTTTGTGTATTTATTTAAAGTGTCTGAGAGATCTAAATTTGCAGGGTTTATTTTGTTATCGCACTTTGTTGTTAATTAATCTATGCAAGTTCATTCCTTCATTCATTTTCCTTTGGCTTAGTCCCTTATTAATCAGAGGTCACCACAGTGGAATCAACCGCCAACTTATCCAGCATATGTTTTACACAGCAGATACCCTTCCAGTCGTAACCCAGTACTGAGAAACACCCATACACTCTCCCATTCACACACACTCATACACTATGGCCAATTTAGTTCATCCAATTCCCCTACAGTGCATGTTTTTGTACTGTAAGGGGAAACCGGAGCACCCAGAGAAAACCCACGCCAACACTGGGAGAACATCGGGACTCAAACCAGCAACCAGCGGAACTATTCTGTCATATGTTTTAAGCAGCGGATGTCCTTTCAGCTGCAACCCACTACTGGGAAACACCTCAATCACACACACACTTATACACTACAGCCAATTCAGTTCACCGATCTGAAATGTTGTTTTGGTCATTCTAAAATGCTTCAGTATTAGTGTAATTATATTATTAATTACCTCCAGAATAGGCAAGAGCGTCTGCGCTCCGCTTCCCATGCCTTCAAACGTCCCCACACATTAATTGCGTGTTGGCATTTGTTTTCTGAGGTGCAACTGATTTATTAAAAGATGAAAAGATTGACGCAGCTTCTCCTACCTCTGCAAATTCAGTTTTTCCTGTTGATATTTGGTGCCAATCAATTAGGAAGTGACAATTATGTTTTCTTTGACTTGTTGGATGGAAACGCTGCTTCATTTGCACATCTTTTATGCGACAATCCACCTTTGCGCATAAACTGAATTCGCATTTTGAGATGGAAACATAGCTAGTGTGTGTCTCGTTTTTATGCTGCCTTCATGGGATGCAGTGGTTTGAATGAATATGGAAAGATTCCAACTGTAAAAATTAGCTCTTCGATCTTGTCATCAACTGAAGATATTCTAAATTTAAGGGTGCTGACGATGATTTAAATTGACGAGTGCAAACTGGCACTCAAATCCTCCGTTTTGTTAGCAATGCCCATCTTTCAATGATCCAATCAATTTGAAAGGTGATGAAATTAAGCACTGCCCTACTTTTTAACCATTCTAATAAGATGTACATCATGAGAGGGGGAAACGGAGAATCCTAACTTCTGTTTCATGCTGACTTTGAACTGTATTATATGAAAACTACAGGAAAATATGCTGCAACTAAAGAAAACACGTGAAAACTAATTGAGAAAAAATCATCAAATTGACGACACGCAAATTCTCAAAACACATGCAAATACAGAGATGAGCTGCAGATAGCACAGACCACAATGGAAATGTGTTGGGGAACCCAAAACAGTAATCAGCAGTGTTGTGGGAGATCTGAAAAGGTTTTTTTTTTCTTTTTTTTTACATCCTGATCATGTGGTCCCTTGTAGTTTGTATATTTTTAGCTCTAGTAATCTAACAAAGGCAGTGGCGCAGTAGGTAGTGCTGTCGCCTCACAGCAAGAAGGTCGCTGGGTTGCTGGTTCAAACCTTGGCTCGCCGTTTCTGTGTGGGGTTTTCATGTTCTCCCTGCGATCGTGTGTGTTTCCTCCGGGTGCTCCGATTTCCCCCACAGTCCAAAGACATGCGGTACAGGTGAACTGGGTAGGCAAAACTGTCCGTAGTGTATGAATACATTCATTTTCTTGTCGGCTTAGTCCCTTTATTAATCCGGGGTCGCCACAGCGGAATGAACCGCCAACTAATCCAGAAAGTTTTTTTTTAAGCAGCAGATGCCCTTCCAGCTGCAACCCATCTCTGGGAAACATACGCACACACACTCATACACTACGGACAATTTAACCTACCCAATTCACCTGTGCCACATGTCTTTGGACTGTGGGGGAAACCGGAGCACCCGGAGGAAACCCACGCGAACGCAGGGAGAACATGCAAACTCCACACAGAAACGTCAACTGAGCCGAGGATTAAACCAGCGACCCAGCGACCTTCTTGCTGTAAGGCGAACGTGCTACCAACTGCGCCACTGCGTCGCCGAATGAATGAATAATCTAACAAATTACACAATTAATGTTAAATTAACCACTTACTCTTAACAATAAGCAGCCGGGTTCATCAGTTTTTAGGACTCCCCCTCTTTTTTTGCAGCACGTTCCTGTATTTGCATGTGTTGTGAAATTAGTGTGCAGCCGAGCACATGTGTTATCAAACCAATGCAGATGTTTTGTCAACGTGTTTTCCTGACTTACAGCAGTTTAAGCTTTCTTGGGCACCATAGATAACAGTTAATTTTAACTGTATTATTATTTTACAATTTTATCTTGGTCAAATAAATGCAGACTTGAGTAAATGTATTTTTAAAAACATAAATCAATCCCAAACCGTTGACTAGTAGTGTATTAATCTCTTGATTTAGGTGCGGTACCACCTTGGTTGCAACTGCGAAGACACATTGGCGACAAATCCAGCTGTTGGGGTCGACTTCAGGCTCTATGGACGGGGTATGGCACTCTGGATGATAACCTGAGGAAACAAACAAATGCATTCATGTACAAAGCATACACATTAAATCCAAGACAAATAGAAAGAATCAAAATAGTTGTATTTTCAATACCGTGGCGACATTTGAGGCAGTTTACGAGAGGTTCTTTAAGAGGTGGCGAATCACAGATACAGCAAACCTCCTCTCCTCCTGAAGAGACTGACAACAACACACAACAAACTCTGTCATGTACAGTACAGAAGACATTTAGGTTTCAAAGAGATGATATTAGGCTTTGATATTATCATTATTATTTTCATATTAGGTTTGAATGCAGTAGTCTAACGCTAGAGTTTAATCCCACAATAGTGCTCTAAAACAAAGCAAAAAGAACACAAAAAAGAAACTTTATTTCTCTTGTGGAATTAAAGCACATTTTTACATACTTATGATACTTTTATAAACAAATATCCCACTCGTTCATTATATGTTAAACAACTGTCAAGGCTTTAAAATGTTTTGTTTGTGTTTGTCAGGGTAAATGAAGCAGGAGCTGTAAGGCCCCGCCCTCTTCTGGAAAAAGGGGCGGGGCAGCAGGTCATTAGCCTTTAAAGAAACACACATAAGAACAGTAAACACATTCTGGGGACATTTGATTAAAACAGCCTACAATAGGTATGAAATGATGACAACATTACAAAACCACCTTTTTATATATTTAGATGCAGACCCCCCCCCATCAAACAATCTTATTAATGCAAAATATAATATAACAAATAAAATATAATTTAATAGCATTTAGTATATGCATCATAATGGTTTTTGTACTGTGTTTTCTTTTATGTTGGTAAATAAATGGTAAATTTAATTTTAGTACTAATTTCCACTGTTAAATATATAGTTTATTACCTGCTTATTATTAAAATATTGGCTGTTTGTTGTTACTTATAACTAGGCCCACACAAAATCTGTGCACACAGAATTCCGTAGATTTTTAGCCCATTATTGATTCTGTTTATTTACTTGTGTAAATGAGTGTAAATTTATATTTATTCAGTTTTTATTTTAATTTCAGTAATTTTATTGGCTAATATGAAAATGTTCATATGATTTATTTACAGTATAGTTTGTAAAGTCATATGTTCTGTCTTTTAGTAGATATATTATATGAGAGACTTGCTTTGTTTATCAAATATAGTGGATCTAATTGTAAACACTGAATAAAAGTTAAAAAGGTATCACTTTTTATTTTATATATTAAGGTTTTAGTTATGAAACCAAAATAATTCTGCATTAATCTGCAGATTTTTAACAAAATTCTGTGCAGAAATAGCAAAAAATGTCCGCAGATTCCATCTGGCCCTACGAATGATCTTATTCTGTCCACAATCTTACCCAGTACTTGAACCCAACTATTAATAAGGAGCTAATTGGTTTTTAATTGAGCTAAAAGTAGTTTTAGTTGATGTGTAATGTTAGTTGATGTGTGTTAACAGCAGTAATTGTACGTTTAAATAAATGATGATCAATTAAATATACTTTTTTTTTTAAAAATAAAGTAAAAATCAACGAGAATTACCAAAATTTTGCAAAATAGAAAATAAGTCTATCAACTAATAGGCAACATGGTGGCTAAGTGGTTAGCACTGTCGTCGTCTCACAGCAAGAAGGCTGTGGTATTTCTTGGTGTGGAGTTTGCATGTTCTCCCTGTGTTGGCGTGGGTTTCCTCTGGATGCACCAGTTTCCCCCACAGTCCAAAGACATGCGCTATAGGTGAGTTAAATCACCTGAATTGGCCATAGTGTATGAGTGTGTGTGTGTGAATGTGAGAGTGTTTGGGTGTTTCCCAGTACTGAGTTGCGGCTGAAAAGCATGCGCTGTGTAAAACATGTGCTGGAATAGTTGGAGGTTCATTTTGCTGTGGCGACCCCTGATAAATAAGGAACTAAGCTGAAAAAAAATGAATGAATGAATGAATGAATGAATGAATGAATGAATAAATGAATGAATGAATGAATGAATGAATGAATGTGTGAAATAAACAACAACAGTCCTAAAATAATCTCGGGTTCTGTATGTGAAGCATAAAATATATATAAAATAAATATATATCAAATGCATTATATTTTTTCCTTATATTCTGGATCCCAGCGGGAACATTGATGTTAAAATAACATCAAAAAGCTTGTCAAAATGCAAATCGATTTGACGTCAATTGATCTCAAAATCTTGACAAATTGACATCTAACATTGGCGTCAAAAGATTTTTTTATGTGTATTTTGACACCAAAGTTATTGTTAATTTGATGTTGTTTTGACATCAAGGCAGTTTACATGCATCGGGAATACAAAATCCAGTGTAAATTTTGTAATGTTTAATAAAAACTTTTAAATGAATAACATTTTTCCTAAATTATAATACAAAGTTATAATACAAATCCAAAGGTATTATATTTATTTATATATATGTATGCATATATATATATATATGTGTGTGTGTGTGTGTGTGTGTGTATATAGTTAAAGTCAGAATTATTAGACAGACAATTATTATGACAGTAAATAATATTTCACTAGATATTTTTCAAGACACTTCTATACAGCTTAAAGTGCCATTTAAAGGCTTAACTAGGTTAATTAGGTAAACTAGACGAGTTAGGGTAATTAGGCAAGTTATTGTATAATGAAGGTTTGTTCTGTAGATTATCAAGGAAAAAATTAGCTCAAAGGGGATAATAATTTTGTCCCTAAAACAGTGTTGAAAAAAGTTTTAAAAAACTGCTTTTTTTCTAGCCAAAATAAAACAAAAAAGACTTTTTCCAGAAGAAAAAATATCAGACATACTGTGAAAATTGTCTTGCTCTGTTAAACATCATTTGAGAAATATTTAAAAAAAAGAAGAAAAAAATTCTAAAGGGCTAATTATTCTGACTTCAACAGTATATATTTTTTTTCTCTCTCATAGTATTTTGCAATACTCTTTTTTTAATCTCTTTTTTTCCTTACACCTGTTATGTTTTTGCTTCATTCTCATTTGTGTTTTTGCAATTCTTGCAATGTTCCTGGATATAGCATATATTTGAATTTGTATTATTACTTAATGTAATGTTTCAAAGCTTATAAAAATATTTTATAAGCTTTGAAACATTACATTATTTATTTATTATATATATTATTATTTTTATAAATATAAAAAAATAAAAAAATGACATCAAGGCAGTTTACATGAATTGTAGGGTTCAGGGGTGGACTTAGTGATTTGGGGGCCTAAGCAATTCCAGGTATGTGGCCCAAGCACTGAAACTTAAAACATTCTCTCTCTCTCTCTCTCTCTCTCTCTCTCTCTCTCTCTCTCTCTCTCTCTCTCTCTCTCTCTCTCTCTCTCTCTATATATATATATATATATATATATATATATATATATATATATATATTCTCTTTAGATTAGTTTTTTTAATAAATAAATAAACAGCATGTTAAAAATATATATTTAAAGTAAATTTGATGTATTTTAATATTTAAAGGAAACTTTATTTTCTTATTGTCAAATTAAATGCAATAAATTCACCAAATAAACTAAGTACATTTAATTAGCCATTTTTGTGATTAGATTTTATTACAAATTAAAAAAACATTTAAACAAAATTTATTCACAATCCATCAAACTAATCTTGTCACCATTTTTCCCATAATCTTGAATAATTGCTGTTTGTGAATTGTCGGTCATTACTTTTCACTGGGAAATGTTATTTTTGTCGAAGGTTGCTAGTTTGAGCCTCGGCTGGGTCAGTTGGCATTTCTGTGTGAAGTTTGCATGTTCTTCCCGTGTTCGTGTGGGTTTCCTCCAAAAACATGTAGTATAGGTGAATTGAAAAAGCTAAGTTGTCCGTAGTGTATGTATGTGAATGGAAGTGGGTGTTTCCCAGAGATGGGTTGCAGCTGGAAGGGCGTCTGCAGTGTAAAACAAATGCTGGATAGGTTGGCAGTTCATTCCGCTGTGGCAACCCCAGATTAATAAAGGGACTAAGCCAAAAAGAAAATGAATGAATGAATGTTCCTTTACTTTTCATTGGGAAATGTTATTTATTTGAACAGATCCTCTCTTGACAAGCTCACAGCGCTCATCATCTGACAGGTGTTTCGGCCATCGTTTGTCTTATTTCTACTTTTGTCCCCCAAATGTTCTCAAAATGTTCTTCACTTTTGCTCTACTCAGATCACTGGCAGGCTGACAGTCTTTGAACTGATCACACCTCACCTATGGGCAGTACGTTCCACTATTCATGGGGGCCCCTGGTTTTAAAGTGGGTACCACGTTCGCCTCACAGCAAAAAGATCGCTGTTTCGAGCCTCGGCTGGGTCAGTCGGCATTTCTGTGTGGAGTTTGTATGTTCTCCCCGAGTTCATGTGGGTGTTTGCCGGCTCCTCCCCCACATGTCCAAAGACACATGGTAAAGGGGAATTGGGTGAGCTAAATTGGCCGTAGGGTATGTGTGTGAATGAGTGTGTATGGATGTTTCCCAGGGATGGGTTGCAGCTGGAAGGGCATCCGCTGCGTAAAAAATGCTGGATAAGTTGGCGGTTCATTCCGCTGTGGCAAACCCAGACTAATAAAGGAACTAAGTCGAAAAGAAAACGAATGAATGATAGAAAATTTACAAGAGAGCTATACTGTATGTTGAATATAGGGTTCTTGACATTGATTGGGGCCCCCTAATTCCCTGGGGCCCTAAGCAACTGCTTACCTCGCTTATAGGTTAAATCCACCCATGGTAGGGAAAAAATTAAAAGTATAAATTTTGTAATTTTGTTCTTAAGCTTTCAAATAAATAAAACGTTTAATATATTACTTTTGGTGTTTTTAATTTGGTGGCAAAGAGCATCAGTGTGTGGATGTCAAGCGGATGGCAAGATTTGGACATCAAGTCGATTTGCAATTTGAATGCGTTTTTTGACATTATACTTGATGTCTATTGGATGTCGTTTTGACATCAAGCTGCTCACCGAGATGTTTACGCTTAGTTTTTGACTTAAAATTCAGAGTTTTAAACTCACACGAGTGGATGTCTTTCCTGAGGACCCAGAATTCAGAGTTATCCTCAAATCTGATCAAACAGCACTGCTTGACACTGTCCACCTGCAAGACGAACACATCCCAAACAACACCACACTCATTTTCACAAGTACAAGTCGCAGTTTTCAAAACTTGCTTTTTCATCCTCTCCACCGGCTCCCTCCTCCGAACAAACTTGGAGAAACTTACTCGTTTGACATTGCCGAGATATAAAAGTCCATCGCTCCACCTGGCCAAAACATCCTCTCCTTCACTGACTCCCCCCATCCTGAAGAGAGCGGGAAAGAAGAGCGCACAAAACATCCAGAGGCTTTCAAATCAAGTAGCAAACAGCAGCAGCCTAAAGGGTTAAACTCTGTGCATAGCGACAGTATACAGTACAGTAGGATAAATGATGAAGAGTCAATGCACATTGCAGTGCCACACATGATCAAAAAGAAAAAAGAAGGGGGAAAAAAACACTGGCTGCTTTATGCAACCGACCGTAATGCATATGCAGATGCCACAACAATGCATGCAAAACGCGCGGCCAGATGTGCACTAATCAATGCGCGCAACTCAGGAGAGCTGACACACATGACGGCGCGCGCACGCACATATCAATTAACACGCATGGCAGATCATACGTGCACGGGATGTACCTGTGTGGAGTGATCGGCTCTGCTGGGGTCACAGAGACGGGGAAGAGATGTCAGTCTCACATGAAACGCCTGATGGTGACCGGTGTTGTTCTGCGTCTCAATCACTGTCCCGAATAATCGGCGCGTTTTGGAGAGTCGCGGCGGATCAAACGCGCGTCAGTGCGCAACCGTCTGTCCGTCCGTCCGTCTCTCTCTCTCTCTGTCCGTCTTCATGTCTCTCGGTTTGATGCTTTCAAGCGTGTGCTCGTCAGGAGATTCAGCCCGAGAGAGACGCCATCATCATCATCTCTGCCTCTCTCTCTTTCTCTCTCGCTCTCCTTCGACTTGTTGTGACGCAGACATAAAACACAGGGAGATGGAGAGGGAGGGAGATCCGGAGAACACCTTCACATCTGTGCGACTGACCGACTTCCCACCGGACTGAAAGCCGGCACGACCACCGCCTGCGCCCCTACAGCCCGCGATAGGAGCCCGGCCGGTGCCGCTCGCGCTCACAGCCTCATTAGGGAAAGTTTGACGGGGTAATTAGTCCGGCAGAGCCACGCCGTGGACTTTCTGGAGAAAGTTTGAAAATGCCCTTGGGTGCCGGCTGGAAAAAAAAGTAAAGAAAAAAGAGGCAAAGCTGCTGCGCGCAAAAAAAGAATAGAAAAAGAAGTTTAAAAACAATGTTTTGACTTATATATATAAAAAATAAAGAAATATAACCGCAATATTATTATCATAAATTAGAAAAAGGGCTAACGCCCAAAAAAAGAAAACAGATTTTTCTTATTCCATATTAGATAATGCAGTTACAGGATTATTATGATCATAACTTAAAAATGAGTGTAATGCAAGACAATAATAATAACAATCGAAAAATACAATAAATTACCACTTTATGACGATTGCATTATTAATCAGTTTTGAATAAATTATGTTTACACTTATATTTTCATATAATTATATACCGTCATTTTATTTTGTTTATTAATAATATTTTATTACAATATAAGTTATACATTTATGAAAAACATTACTCTGGCTATTCATAATGTACATAAATTTACATTTTATTAAATTATTTAATATACATTTCTCATATTGAGTAGATCAGTAGGTTATTAATGCTCAGACATGAGTTCTTTTTAGCGCTTTTCCAAAAATGTATTAATAAAATAAATCATTAATAATTTTAATAATAATAGTGTGTGTTCACTATCTATCTATTCATTATATTATCTATCTTAAATCCTGGTTGCCTCAATTTTTAAGCTGAATCAGATTAACCTTATGAGTCCGCTGAATTTATATGTTAAACTGACTTAAAACAGCTTCTGTAACTTATGAAATTTAGTTAGAACATGATTACCTTAGTTTAATAAGTTACAATGACCTAAAATATATGCTGTCATGACATATTGATCATATTTTACAGTGTACAGTGCTCAGCATAATTTAATAATATTTGATTAATTTCTCAATGGATATAGGCAATTATTTTGGTGCATTTAAAAAAACAGATTTATTAAACATATATTTATTAAAACAATATTTTAGTCACCAAACATATTTAGAAATTGAAAGATAATACAATTAAATTCAAGCTAAATATTGCAAAGTTTCAACTCTACTTTTTTTTTTTGTATTTGTTGTTTTGATTTTTCTTCTTTTAAATTTGTATACATATACATTTGGGTGTACTAGTTTTTGGACCGTTATCGTAAGTTATTTTGTTAGATAGACTCCAGATTTGGCTTCAGTAATGTACACTCTCAGAAATAAAGGTACAAAAGCTGTCACTGGGGTGGTCCCTTAACAAAAAATACAAATCTGTACCTTAAAGGTCCATATTAATACTTCAACGGTGCATATTAGTACCTAAAAAGTACAAAAGTGTTCCTCTTAAAATTTGTAGGTACTAATACTTTTAAGGTACCAATATGGACCCTTCAAGTACAAATGTGTACCTTTTGAAAAGGTACCACCCCAGTGACAGCTCTTGTACCTTTATTTCCGAGAGTGTATATCATATGCACAAATATAATATTGCATAGCTTCCTGTTCAAAATATGAATTTAAAAGATCTGTGAGGGGCATGTCCAAAAGACCTGTGGTACAGTGTATGAGTGTGTGTGTGTGTGTGTGTGTGTGTGTGTGTGTGTGTGTGTGTGTGTGTGTGTGTGTGTGTGTGTGTGTGTGTGTGTGAGAGTGAGTGTATATGAATGTTTCCCAGTGATGGGTTGCAGCTGAAAAGGCATCTGCTGCGTAAAACATATGCTGGATAAGTTGGCGGTTCATTCCGCTGTGGCAACCCCAGATTAATAAAGGGACAAAGCCAAAAATAAATGAATGAAGGATTTGTGAGGAGTGTACTTATATATGCTGAGTACTATGTGTGTATTATTTATTGTATACACACATACTTCCTCTCATTTGTAGTTATACAACAACATCTATTGTTGTAATCAATCTAACAATCAATATTGTTGTAAATAATCTAACTACAATAAAAATAACAATTTATTTTGGCTTAAACCTTTATTAATTACACATTAATATTAATAAAGATTTTATTACAACTTTATTAATTACACATTAACAATAACAAAGGCTGTATTACAACTTTATTAATTACACATTAATATTAATAAAGGTTTAAACCCACCTTTATTAACTACACATTAATATTAATAAAGGTTTTATTACAACTTTATTAATTACACATTAATATTAATAAAGGTTTAAACCCACCTTTATTAATTACACATTAATATTAATAAAGGTTTTATTACAACTTTATTAATTACACATTAATAATATTAAAGATTTTATTACACCTTTATTAATTACACATTTACAATAACAAAGGTTGTATTACAAATTTATTAATTACCCATTAATATTAATAAAGGTTTTAACCCACCTTTATTAATTACACATTTATATTAATAAAGGTTTTATTACACCTTTATTAATTATTACACCTTTATTACATCTTTATTAATCACATACTTATACTAAAACTATATTATCAATGCACTTCTATAACTTTTTTCCAGTATGCAGGCGAAATAACCATCTAAATATCTTTTGCTTTACATTTTCATCATCTTGAAGACAAACTTTGAAGTGTGTAATTGTGTTACAACACCCACACAAGCAGCGCGCGCACACACGGTAGGTGAAATCTAGCCAAAATCTTGAGATATCAAGCACAACACTGTAAGACTCCTATTACGAGAACAGTAGTGCTGGAATGTTCAAAATGGCCCCTGGCGTGTCTTTTTTATCCTGAAAGCAGATTTTGGAAAGAGTCCAGCAGAGGGCGCAAAAGATGGGAAGTGCAAACAGAGTTTTACTGAATTACAGAATCTGCATTAAGAAGCTTTTAGATTCTTGCTAACTTAGTGATTATTCACACAAACATGAAAGCGTTGTGGGCAACACACATTTAAGATAATAAGCCATTCAGAGTGCAGGCCTGAAGAGCCTGACAGAGGTGATAAATTATTCATAAGCACCAAACCACTATTTTAATTAGTCCACTCCAGCCAAGTGAATGCATAGCTCACATTACCAATGCTTTTATTCACCATAACAACCTTTTAATAAGCACAGAAATCTCCCTCAGACACATTATTCCAGCTAATAATGATGCAAAGGTCTTGCATAACGCTTACAGCTTCCATAACAGATGGAGAATATCCTGACAAACAAAAGGTCACCCGCTTTCTTATGCAGGCATTGTTTTAAAATGGAAAATTATGAGCTACGGCATAGCTCAGTGCCTTTTGTAATTGTCAGACTTTTATTGGGCTGATAAACATGGATGAGTGCTTAATAAGAATATTAGGTTATTTTCATTTCTCGGAACACTCTCAAAACTGACAGTTTATGACTTATGCTTTGGATTATATTGCATATCTAAAATGATGCAATTAACCTTTTACTTTTTTAATTACTGTTATTAATCATTTTATTCTATCCTTTTAATTTAATTTAAAATAACATCTTTACATAATATATACTGTATATACTGTATACATATATATACACACAATATTAGTGCTCTCCCAGTAGTTTTAGCGTTCTTTCAATATAATATAACAACAACAACAACAACAACAATGAAAAATTACTATTATTACTATTATTAAATTAATAATATTACATAATTTTAATAATATTACAACAACAATACAATATAATATAATATAATATAATAAAATATAATATTATATAATATAATAATAGTAATAGTAATAGTAATAGTAATAGTAATAGTAATAGTAATTCAAATACATACATATTTGTTGTTGAGCAAAAAGTGCTAATACAAACTAATTAGTGACATGTGGTAATTTTGACTTGTGCCGTTTGATTTGAAATGCATAATTTCATACTGCAAGTAATGCAATTTTTTATATTTAATTGATTATTATTACTATTACTAATAAATTAAGCAAATTTGTGCTTTTTTATTATTCATCAATTCTAATTATTAATATATTATAATATATAGTACATTAAATATATATAATAATAATAATAAGAAGAAGAAGAAGGATATTGTAATAACAATAATAATAAATAATTATTTTAATAATAATGATGATAACTACACAATAACAAATATTCTATATTTTATTATGCATCTAAAATATATTACTATATATGAATAACTATTCATTCATTCATTTTCTGCTTAGTCCCTTTATTAATCCAGTGTCGCCACATCGGAATGAACTGACAACTTATTCAGCATGTTTTTACACAGCGGATGCCCTTCCAGCTGCAACCCATCTCTGGGAAACATCCACACACACTCATTCACACTCATACATTAAGGACAATTTAGCCTACCCAATTCACCTGTACCGCATGTCTTTGGACTGTGGGGGAAACCGTAGCACACGGTGGAAACCCACGCGAACGCAGGGAGAACATGCAAACTCCACACAGAAATGCCAACCGACACAGCCGAGGCTCGAACCTGCAACCTTCTTAATAATAATGATAATAATAGCAATAATAATAATAATTTATATACATACTTAACATATGTGTTGTTAGGCAAGTGCTAATACAAACATATTAGGTTATTTTGATATATATGTTTATTATGTAAACTATGATTTGAAGTGCATACTTGCAAACTGCAAATAATGCAAATTTTGATATTCAATTAATTAATATTACTACTAATAAAAAATTATTAGTCATTATATCCTATATTTATTTACATAATATAATGTACATTTCTTATTATAGACATTGCATGCATTATTGCAATATTAATAATATATATTGTTTTACTATTATAATCATTATATACACATAAATTGTATATAATATAAAATATATATATATATATATATATATATATATATATATATATATATATATATATATATATATGTATATATATATATAATGTTTATATAATACATTATATTATTTGATATTAATAATTATAACAATGACTAGCAAATATACTACTACTACTACTAATATTTATTAGCATTATTAATATTATTATTATTATTATTAATAATAATAATAATAATAATAAAATAAAATAAAATATTCATTCATTAATTTTATTTTCAGCTTAGTCCCTTTATTAATCAGTAATCATGTTTTAAGCAGCAGATGCCCTTCCAGCTTCAACCCATCACTGGGAAACACCCATACACACTCATTCCCACACCGACACTATGGACAATTTAGCATACCCATTTCACCTATGGCAGTCTCTGGACTCCGGAGCACTACCCACGCCAACCCAACATGGGGAGAACATGCAAACAGAACAGAAATGCCAACTGACCCAGCCAAGGCTCGAACCAGCGACCTGCTTGCTATGAGGTGACAGCACTACCTTCTGCGCATATTTACATATTTACCTAAATATTTTTTGTAATTCAAAAAGTGCTTATACAAATATATTAAGTAACTCTTGTTTTTTCAACCCGCTCATGTTGTCAGTTCATGCTATAAGTGCACTACGATTCAAAATGCATAATTGCATAATACAATTAATGTACATTTGGCAGCTAATGCTATTGATGATTCCACACGTGCGTGCTATTTTCTCTTCTTATTATTGTTGTTAAAGGTTTTCTTGTCTGCAAGGCCATGCCATAAAAAAATACTGAAGGTCAGAGTGTCGTCCACAGCTGGCACTATGCTCAAGGATTAGCTTTAAATAATCACCCTGCTAGAAACTGGCCAGCCATTCAAAAGCATAAATCATACACATCAAAAAACTACAACAGCAGCAGCCACTTAAAATGCAGACCGTGAAACAACACCAGGCAATAAAATACAACCTTGACAATGTGTGAGAGAGTAAACACACACACAAACACACACACACATGCAAACACACACACAAACACACACACACATGCAAACACACACTAATGCATGCAGCTAAATGGGACTTCTTATTGACAAACGGTTCATAAATCAAGCTAATATTTGTAATTGGGTTGGGTAGTTGTTGATGCATCAAAATGTGATTAAAATTTATATGCTTATATGCATATAACAGCATATTTTACTCTATTTGGTGTTTCTTTTCTCCTCACCAATGTTATGGTTTTAATCGCTCTTGTCAAGCTTGTTTAAATGGTGACAAATTAATTATGTAAATCCTGCATGAAATATATAAAGACTTCAGGCTGTAACTATTTTAATATGAAGTCATAATCTGGGTAATAATTGCTGAATAATTGGGCAAATGTTGAAAACAGTTACAGGAAAATAATAAAATAAAATAAAACAAAAATGTATATAAAATTTAATTAAATAAAAAATTATAAATAAATTATTCAAAATTATAAAAAAAAAACTAAATAAAATAAAAAATAAAATCATAAAAATAAAACAAAATAAAATAATAAAATAATAAAAGTAATAAAAAAATTACAAAATAAATTGAGAAAAATTAAATAAAATAATAAAATCATAAAAAATTTAATGTAGGAAAGTATTCAAATAAAGCAAATTTTAAATTATTTTTTTAAATAATAAAATAAAACAATAAAATCAAATATGAGTTTAAAAAATAATAATAAAATAATATAAATTTTTTTTATAAAATAATAAAAAAGTTATTAAATTATGACGGATGAAAAAGAAATGGTAGATCATGACTGATACAAAAACATTTTCTTTTCTGCTTAGTCCCTTTATTAATCTGGGGTCGCCACAGCAGAATGAACCGCCAACTTATCCAACATATGTTTCATATACTCTCATTCACACACAGAAAATTTAGCCTACCCAATTCACCTACACCACATGTCTTTGGACTATGGAGGAAACCCACGTGAACATGCAAAATTCCACAAAGAAACACCAACTGATCCAACCGAGGCTCGAACCAGTGACCTTCTTGCTGTGAGGCAAGAGCGCTATCCACTGTGCCACCATGCTGCCCTAGACAAACATTAAAATCGAATATTTTTTCTTAAAAGTGAAAACAGGCACAAAAGAAAGAAAGAAAGAAAGAGAGAAAGAAAGAAAGAAAGAAAGAAAGAAAGAAAGAAAGAAAGAAAGAAAGAAAGAAAAACAAAGGGGAAAAGAGGAAAGGAAGAAAGAAAGAATAAAATATAGGAAAAACTATAAGATCTGAGAAAGAAAGAAAGAAAGAAAGAAAGAAAGAAAGAAAGAAAGAAAGAAAGAAAGAAAGAAAGAAAGAAAGAAAGAAAGAAAGAAAGAAAGAAAAACAAAGGAAACTGGAAGAAAAAGAGGAATGAAAAGAAAGAAAAAAAGAGGAAGATGAAGTGGAGCTGGGCAGCAGCGCTTCAGCAGAGCAAAAGGGATGTCCTTGTTTCCGCGTAGGCTAGACTCCGTTTACAATAAAAGTCTGTCCGGTTTTCAGCCCCGGTGAGACCATCAGCCCCTGAGCGCTGCTCTGAATTTAGCGGGCAGCGCTTCTCGTGCACGCGGTGTAGCCAATGACCGCGCGCGCCGGAGTGACAGCAGGATCTGCGCCCGCGCGCGCGTCACCAGCCATCAGCTCACAGCGACGCGCGCAGCTCGCGCCTTCAGCGGCCCGATAAGCGATGACAGGCGAACTTGGCGAAGCAGGAGAGCACAGATATGGAAGAGCACAAACTCTGACTTCCGAGGAACCGACACTCAGGGGCGGATGGACGAGATATTAGTCCCCTAACAGGTATTTGAGCATAAAGTGCGCAGTGAGCGAGAGGCGTTAACGCGAGATGGATGTGTCATACTGAATGAGCTCTGCTGAAAACTATGACAAAACTCTGGCTATTGAATGACGCTTGATGAAATTAAGCTGGGTAATAGTGCTGAGGGGTTACACGAAAGAAAGCTTTATATTACACTTAGGTTTAACCCAATTGAGTCTCGTTCTGCATACAAATGTTTCTCCCTGATTAGTGAATGAACGTAGACTTCGTGTTCACGAGCTTGCGCTTTTTGACAGATTTGATGTTGTTTTGTGACAAAAGCTGTGAGTTTTGCTCCATCTCTCTCTTCCTGAAAGAGATCTGTATCTGCTTCTGCGGGCTAATATGCATACCGCCGAGGGAAAGGGGAAAGGCGAGGGAGGGGCCTGCATTCAAATGTGAAGTTGACGAGAAATGTAAATGATCAAAACAAATGATCTGGCAGGGAGAACTGCGCTGTACCTGCGCTCGTCTCTGTGTTTTGATGTGTTGGTGTTTTGGCCCAGCAGCTCCAGCATGATCCCGCGCAGTATGAAGTCGTCAGGGGTGGATCTGCCGGGTGTGGGTCCGAGAGAAGTGCCGCTGATCGGATACCGAGCGCTGCAGACGGAGTTGGACGGCTCCCCGGATCAGCTGTGGAAGGAGAGTGAACACAGAGAGGCAGATCATCACACACAGGTGAGAGGAAGATGACGATGACATCATGATTCACTGCTGCGTGTCAGCTTTAATATGCAGGGGTCAGAGATGAGGCTTCCTGTTTTAATGTCTGCATCAATTGTGTTTTTAAAGGGCTTTTATTTACAGTTCATGCACTGTAAAATGAGATGATCAATTAGTCAACTAGTCCTGACAGCATTTGTTTTTAGGTCATTGTAACTTAATAAACAAAGTTAATCATGTTCTAACTTAACTTTATAAGTCACACAAGCCGTTTTAAGTCAGTTCAACATAATATGAGTTCATTGGACTTATGAGGTTAATTTGATTCAGCTTAAAAAATTAAGGCATCCAGGATTTTTTACAGTATAGACAACATGTTAAATGCAGGAAGAAAAAAAGGGTATATATATATATATATATATATATATATATATATATATATATATATATATATATATATATATCCCCATATCGGACGAGGGCTTTTCTTTTTCTGGACGGCTTTTGTAAAATCGCCGGACGCCCAGTCATTCAGTCAGTCGGACAGAAACTCGCTCGACAGCGGCCTCCGGCGGCTTTTTACGTGGGAAGAGTGCAGGCGTGAATGGATTAGTGAAAACAATAACTGCACAAATACATACCTCCCGGGATGTACTTTCTATAGAAACATCTGTAGGGCTACATTTCCAGAATGAGCCTGGGTTGGAGAAAGCATACACAGCAGTTTCTTGTGGATTTGCGAAAACCCAAACTGCAAATAAACGTAGCTCCTGGGATGTATTTGACGCTCCCCAGAAATGTATATGGGGTACATTTTCAGAATAAGCCTGCGTTAGATATATGGGTAACACTTTACAATAAGGTTCATTAGTTAATGCATTTGTTAACATGAACTAATCATGAACAACACTTGTACAGCATTTATTAATCATAATTGAACATTTACTAATGCATTATTAACATCCAAGTCCATGCTTATTAACGTTAGTTAATGCACCATGAGTTAACATGAACTAACAATGAACTACTGTATTTTCATTAACTAACGCTAACTAACATGAACAAATACATTAGTAGATGTATTGTTCATGGTTTGTTCATGTTAGTAAATGCATTAATTAACATTAACTAATGAACCTTATTGTAAAGCTTGACCAATATATGCAACTTTGAAAAAAACAGACTTCTTTTTCGTATTAAACACTTTCTAAACCTTTGTACATTTTTAGGTAAGAACAAGGAAAGAAATACAACTAAATAAGTCAAATAAAACCAGATATAAATAAAAAGTCAACTGTAAAAATGGATCAAAATGTCATAATAAAATATACTATAAATGCACTGTCAGAGTAATATCTCAGGCACCAATATTTTTAAGATAAGGCATTTTTTTCCATCATCAGGGCCATGCCTTTTCAAGTTCTGGTTAATTTTCAAACCATAGTAACTGTACATGAACAACACACAAAACCAATGGTAACTTTATATCTACCCTAGAGGCCTCTCAGCTATTTCTTACTCTGGTAACACTTTACTAAAAAGTTGTATTAGTTAACTAATACATTTACTAACACGAACAAACAATGAACAATACATTTATTACAGTATTTGATCATGTTAGTTATCGTTAGATAATGAAAATACAGCTATTCATTGTTAGTTCATGTTAAATCATGGAAATCAAGCATGAGTTTGGATGTAAATAATGCGTTGGTAAATGTTGTAAACCCTCACTTCTTATGTGGCCTTCCTCAACATTATTATATTTCCATGCAAGGCCAACAGAAGGTTTGAGTCTAACAGGCAGCTTTGGTGTTTTGAGCGAGATCAGCTTTCACTTGTGGATTAAACTTGAAACAGGATATTGAGGCGAGTTTTGGCTCTTCCAGCAGCGTTTTGATCTGAAGTGACGGAGGCTTCGTCCTCATGAGACGCGCAATCATAAGGAAAGCTGAAGCTACATTTGGTTAGTTCTGAGAAAAAGCTGCAGGGGCCGCGAATGTTAGTTTGAAGAGGATCTATTACATAACTAACAGCGCTGTGTGTGAAGTGGCCCGGGCGGAAAGTGAATACATTCAAATAGACTCATCTGCTGCTCTTAGATTGTTTGTTTTAGCCGTTTTGTTTTAGCTGTACTGTGAGCTGTGAGTTCCTTATCAGTCTGAAGCAAAAGCCCTGTGCGCTGCTATTTGGGACTCCACCTGCTATTCTCTCATGCTGTGTGTTTATATATCGTCAGATTACATGTCGCTAGCTTAATGTGTGTATTGCACACTACCGGTCTAAAGGTTTAGAACTGTACTTTTTAAAATAGACATATATTTAAAGTCTCCTTTGTTCACCAAGCCTGCATAAAGTAAAACAGAAACATTTCTATATACATTTCTGCTAAATAAAATAACTTTAATTTAGAATTTAAATATATATTTAATTACATTGGAATAAATGTAATTTAAGAGACGGCATGGTGGCTGGTTTGAGCGAGCCCCAGCTGGGTCAGTTGGCATTGTTCTCCTCATGTTGGCGTGGGTTTCCTCTGGGTGCTCCGGTTTCCCCCACAGTCCAAAGACATGAGCTATAGGTGAATTGAATAAGCTAAATTGGCTGTAGTGCATGTGTGTGAATGCAAGAGTGTATGGGTGTTTCCCAGTACTGGGTTGCAACTGGAAGGGCATCCGCTGCCTAAAGCATACGCTGGATTAGTTGGCAGTTCATTCCGCTGTGGGAAAAAAGTAATAATAACAATAACTAATAATAATAATAATATAAAATAATAATAACAATAACAATAAAATAATAACATTAATAATAATAATAATAATAATAAGAATAATAATAATAATAATAATAATAATAATAATAATAATAATAATAAACATTTATTTGGAAAATAAAAATATTTTAATGATTTCTAAAGGATCATGTGACAAGTAATGGTGCTGAAATTCAGTTTTTGAAATCTACTTTTAAAAAATATATTCAATTAAAAGAGTAATTTTAATATTATAAATGTTAAACATTTCTTTTTGTACTTTGGATTAAACTGAAGCAGGTTTGGTGAGTAGAAGAGGCATCTTCAAAATCTTACTGTTCTTAAACTTTTGACTTGTAGTGTGTGTGTCTGTCTGTATGTGTGTGTGTGTGTGTGTGTATACAGTATAAACCCCAATAAAAGTATTGAATAACACAATTAAATGTACATTTTTATAAGAAGTAATAAATATAATACAAATAAACATACACTCATATTATGATTTATCACTATTATTTGTACTGATATTATTGATAAAATTAATAAAACAACAAATGTGTAAAAATGAATATAACAATTAACAAATATTATACATAAATACTTCTAATTTACTCACATATTGGATTTACACAGATAATTATCAGAATTATTTTTTATACATATTGTTTAAAAAAATTAGGTTTTTAAAGGTTTATTATTTATTATATTATGTATTTGTAATACATATTATATGTATATATTATTATATATTATAAATAAATATATATAAAAAATAAAGTATTTTAAAATTATTAAATAAAAATATTTATTATTTTTCAGCATGTTAAGTAGAAAATTAAAGATATTAGATATCAAAAGATATTAATTATTAAAAAAACATGAAAACAATTACAATTATTATTATTACTATTATTATTATTATTATTATGGGGCATCACGGTGGCTCAGTGGTTAGTGCTGTCGCCTCACAGCAAGAAGGTCGCTGGTTCGAGCCCCAGCTGGGTCAGTTGGCATATCTGTGTGGAGTTTGCATGTTCTCCCCATGTTGGCGTGGGATTCCTCCGGGTGCTCCAGTTTCCAGTTCTGGGCTGCGGCTGGAAGGGCATCCGCTGTGTAAAAAACATATGATGGATAAATGGGCCAGTGATTCCACTAATTATTATTATTATTATTATTATTATTATTATTATTATTATTATAATAAATAAAAATAACTACCTCAAAAATTCTTTACAGACATAAATATACAGGTTTATTTCAAATCAAATAAAACAATGGATTCTAATGTTGAAAAGTAAGTTGATTTCTTGCTGAAAGTAATTTTTTCCAGTTATTTAACAGCTGTGTCATCTAAACTGAATAAGACATCTATAGCATTGACTTGCATCAAGCAGACACAAATTGACACAATTGAAAATCTGCCATTGACAAAACCATTGAAAGAGCACTAATATGAACACTGTAGTGGTTACGCCTCTGCTCCTTTTTTCTTGTCACAACATCCTGAGTATTGACTAGATACAGCTACACCAAGGCTGAGTTTCATTCAACACTCAGCTGGGTTTCCCGGTCTAAAAACAGAAGCCCTTCAACCCAATCATTTCACTCTAGAAACTTCCCTCCTGTTCATGGCACATGAGCACTGAATAATATTTCTGTTTCAAATAAGTGCCGCTCCTTTGAACTCTCTGATACTTTCTATATAAAAATATCCTTAAATATGAATCAAGGAAGCAAAAACTATTGTTGATTATTATTGATAATAATAATAAATGTTCAACAAATCAGCAGATTTTGCAGCTTGAATTGCATGTAAAGATCTGCTTTGGAATCAAAGGATAAAATGTTTTACACAACAGTTCTGCCTGGTTCTTGAATCTGATTGGCTGAGAGCCGTGCAATATTCTGCCAGTAACAGCACTCGTACAGACTCTGCACTCTTCACCCTTGTGTATTACTCCACCCACATATAGCAACAAGCAGAAGACACTCTACAGTTTGACAAATATTGCTGCTGTTGAGTAACATGATGTACTTTTGAGGCTTTTTTAGTCAAGAACCTAGTTGTTTAAATTACAACTGTGGTTTATTTATAAGGAAAGTGCCTATTTTTAAATATTTATATTTTCTGTGAGACAGCGCGCCGTTTTTGAGCAAAGACGGTTGACAATGTTCATCCACTAAAGGGCGAAAGGGATCGCATAAAAAGCCCTAGAAAAACTCAAACATAATTTCAAACTACAGCTGATTATATCATTATTAT